TTTTTGGTTGATTTTTCTTTGTTAAATGGCATTTAAATATATAAAATAAATATCAAAAATATAAATCTTTGTTTTACTATGGTTGCAAATATCAAAAAATTTCTATATGTGACACGGCACCAGAGTTAAGTTAGGATTTTTCAAAATGCTGGCACGCCAAGCTCAAAAGGTTCGCCACCACTGCCCTAAGTGCTATTTAGAATATGTTTTCAGATGTCCTCTAAAAATTTCCCACCCAAACAGAAGGCATTATCATTACCCTATTGTTGTCTCTGAATAGTGTCTACTTTGGAAGGGTACCCCAAAAACATCATTGCCACTGATCCCGGATTGTGTTTTGGGTTTGTGTGCAAAGTGGAAGTCACGTACCAATCTGCAGGGCAATTCAGAACACAGCCTCTGATGTTTCTCAAACAAATCAAAGGCCATCATAAAATTACGTTTTTCGGATGGCATAATTACAAATAAATGAGGAAATGAAACAGCAGGCTACGTGCGAGCCCTTCATAACTGACAGTGCAGGGCCACGTGGCATTGATTTCCAAAGTAGAGGCCTTTACAAAGCAGTGACTCTAGTCTAGATTATGTCATCCTGAGCATTGTAAGCATATTCTGTGCATATCATTTGTCATATAAAAATAATTTCCCGCTTCATGGTTTATTTTTCCTTTATGGCACATTCTGAATTCAGATTTTTTAAATCTGCCATTGGGTTTTCCATAAACTATCAGGCAGGACCTCTGTGAGATTCTCTGCTTTGAGAAACTATCTGCATAATATTTATTTCTGATATATGACTCATAATTAAATTGTCATGATATATCCCTTATCTTCAAAATGGCATCTGATAATTCAGTGCCTTTTTAACAATAGACAAAGTGTTTTCTAAAGCAGCGGTCGCCAACTGGTGGTCTGTGAGGTCCAAAAGGTTGGCAACCGCTCGTTTAAGGAAACCTTTGGAGCAGCGGTCCCCAACCGGTGGTCCGTGAGGTCCAAAAGGTTGGTGACCGCTGTTCTAAAGACTTTTTTTCAGAAATCCAAATGTTTCTTGGGGCCCTTTCCAAGACATATACCATGTATCTTTGACATTTATTTTTATCTATATATCTTTATTTTTTAATCCTCACCCGAAGATATTTTTCCATTGTTTTTAGATAGAGTAGAAGGGAGGTGGAGGGAGAGAGAGAGAGAGAAAAACATCATTATGAGAGAGACACATTGATTGGTTGCTTCCTGCACATGCCCCTACCAGGCCAGGGATCGAGTGTGCAATTGAGGTATATGCCCTTGACTGGGAATCGATGCGACCCTTTCCTTGACATTTCAAGCATTATGAGACTAGAGCAGTGATGGCAAACCTTTTGAGCTCAGCATGCCAGCATTTTGAGAAACCCTAACTTAACTCTGGTGCCGTGTCACATATAGAAATTTTTTGATATTTGCAACCATAGTAAAACAAAGATTTATATTTTTGATATTTATTTTATATATTTAAATGCCATTTAGCAAAGAAAAATCAACCAAAAAAATGAGTTCGCGTGTCACCTCTGACACGCGTGTCATAGGTTCGCCATCACTGCTCTAAACTCTGAGCAATCCAGCCAGGGCTCTTTGGCATTTTTAAATTTGAGGACTAAGCCAAAATTCCCATAACATTTTTGTTTGAATTTTGACTATGTAATTTTTAAGGTGGACATTTGAATTTACTCAATACTCATCCTTGTTTAAAACTTTAATTGCTCAGATGTCCTTAAGCTTATAGTAGATTGGCCAGCTTTGGTGACATCTCTCTGGCCTTTGAGGTTGGCACAGTCCAGTATAGCTATCTCAGGGATGTGTGGCCATGGAAAAACATATTTTGGTTGTTGAGTGTTTTTGCTTTCTAGTAATTTTATTTTCTGCTCCAGGGATTTAATATCTGTTCAGATAATTTATTTTTTAAGGCCACATAAGTAATGACTTGACCTCTAATCTTAGCTTTGGAAATTTCCCAGACACTAATAAAGATAATGTCCGATGACCTTTTATTTAAGAATACTACTCACTGGCCAGTAATTAGTGCTATTTAAAAATGTATATTTACTCTAAAAATGATTTTCTACCTGGCCAGTGTTTCTCAGTGGTTAGAGCATCAGCCTGCTCACCAAAGAGTTGTGGATTCAGTTCCTGATCAAGGGCACGTGCCTAGGTTGGGGGTTCGTTCCCTGCCCTGGTTGGGGCTAGTGTAGGAGTCAGCTAATCGGTACATCAATGTTTCTTGCTCTCCCCCTCACCCCCTACCTCCCTTAAAAACAATGGAAGGGATATCCTCGGGTGAGGTTTAAAAAAAAACACACACACAAAAAATGATTTTCATAGTTAAAAGACTTTCTTAGAAAAATCATGCATGTAATGACCTGATTTGGTGACTCTTGGGCCTAGATTTATAATACTTTTTACATGGTGTTATTGAGACTTAGTACCATTCTAAACAACTCTTCTCTACAAATACTGTACCAAATACAGATGCTCTTCAACTTAAAATGGGGTATGTCCCGATAAACACATTCTAAGTTGAAAATATAAATTGAAAATGCATTTAATACATCTAACCTAAACATCATAGCTTAGTCTAGCCTACCCGTGCTTAGCCTACAGATGGGCAAAATCATCTAACACATAGTCTATTTTATAATAAACTGTTGAATATCTCATGTAATTTTTTATGTGTATGGCTTTCATGCTATTGTAAAGTCAAAACATCATAAGTCAAACCATGATAAATCTAATTATTTCTGAGAAAAATATCCTATAGACTATAATCTTATCAAAAATAGCACTGTGTCTCTTGGACTAATAATAACATTTGGACCCAAAGGGTTATAGAGTAATCCCTGTTTTGCATGAATATATCAGCAGGATTTTTTACAAAGGATCAAGTTGTGACTGAAGACTAGGATAATCAGTTAAATTATCTGGACTTTCCACATCAGGACACAGGCTTAATAATTAGTGGAGTGAAAAAGAAGTTCACCAGACCGTATTAATGTGTGTGCCAAGGTGTATTCACGAAGAAGAGCGGGGTGTCTGGGCAAAGGGAGAGTTGTCCTTTTTCTTTGTTTTTACTTGTCTTATCCTATATAATAAAGAGGTAATATGCAAATTAACCCTCACACCCTCACGAGATAGCTGCCTACAACCAGGTTGGCAGGGGGGTTAGTGAGGGATGACCAAACGACTGGACAGCAGGCTGTGTGGGGCGACCAGGCCGGCAGGGGGGTTAGTGAGGGGCAACCAAATGACTGAACAGCATGCTGCGTGGGGCGACGGGGGCTGTGAGGGGCAACCAGGCCGGGGGGCGTGCAGTTGGGGGCG